GCCTATCTATCCGTGTGTCCGAGACCCAGGGACCTGAACAACAAAGACCTCCCTTCGTCCTCCAACGACTTTAGGCCACCCCTCCCCTGCCTCTTTCGCGGAGAGTTTTCCTACGACCTCCTCGGCCACCCCTTCCATCCTTTGGGGCATTGATGTTAGCTGCTCCGGGCCTCGGGTACCCCCTACTCCATGCATGCGAGGGTGCTCCCAGACGTACCCCAACCTGCGTCTCATCTCACACACACATTTCCTCTCTCTCTCTCTCTCACACACACACATACATACAAATGCGCGCGTCATTTCCAGGGCGTTTGGAGTTCGGTGTGACCAAAACCTAACCCGTGACATTCCCGTGGCATGGTGTCTGGCCCTCTGGAAGAGCACCCTCTTCTGCCCTCCCCCGTCCCCTCCCCCAACCAGACACCTGGATGTCCTTGTCCTCTCTCTCCATCCTCAGACTGTCACCAAGGCCCGTCCATCTTCACCTCCTAAAGCCTTCTTTCTTCACCCCCACATCATTGTGAGAAAAACTCTTGTTGGCTTGGTCCACCTTCAGGACTATGGGAAGTCTTGAGGGTAGCAGGCTTAGTAACAAAAGGAGCTCGGTGGAGGGGAAGAACTAGTTTGACCAGCTAGGAACTTTAAAATAAGAATACACCCATTAAGGAAATAGGGGAAGTTCATGGGGAAAGGGGGGAACTAAATGAGAATGCTCAGTAAGGACTAGTAGGCAATCTTGGGAGGAGATTGTGACCTCCTAAATCCTGGTATAAGGAGCTCTGGTAGCGTAGTGGTTATGAACTGGAAGGTCAGTAGTTCGAAACTACCAGCTGTTCCACTGGAGAAAGAGAAGGCTTGTCTGCTCCCATAAAGATTTACAACCTCGGAAACCCTGTACAGGGTCACTATGAGTCGGAACCGACCCCACGGCACACCACCACCACCACCAAGTCCTGGGGTGGCGCTGTGGGTTAATGAGCCAGACTGCAAAACTGTTTGAACTGCAAGGTCGGTGGTTCAAGCTCACCAGCTGCTCCTTGGAAACCCTATACAGGGGTCGCTATGGGTCTGACCGACTCGATGGCACTTAACGACAACACCCAGTAGAAGGGGAGCTGGAGGAGGGGCTTTTCCAAGACAGGGGAACAAAACTGTTTGCCACTGGCCATGCAGCTCTCTGCCAGTATCTACTGGGTTGGGCCTCATGTTGATAGTAGCTCTATTTTTAATAGTCCTACACTGGAAACCATGAAAAGCCCCTTAACATGTGGAGGGTAAATACACCGTGGTAGATCCATACAACAGGATGCCACTCAGCAATAATAAAAAGAAGGAACCACTGATGAGCACAGCATGGGTACATTTTGCAGACATGTGGAATGAAAGATGCTAAAGTCAAAAAGGCACATATTTTATAATTCCCTTTGTTATGGAATTCTAGAATAGACAAAACTAAACTATGCCGACAAATACCAGCAGTGCTTTTCTGGGGTAGGAGATGTTGGGGTTCATAGGAACAGTGGAAACTTTCTGGGCTGCTAGTAATCTATTTTGATTGGGGTGATGATTATATATAGATATATAATGGTCAAAACACATCAAACTCTACAATTAAAATAAGTGCATTTGATTTCATGTAAGTTATACCTCAATTTCTACCACTTGCCATTTTGTTGTACTGTGGTGGCTTGGCTGTTGCTGTGATCCTGGAAAATGGATAAGACTGGGGAAGAGTTGACACATTTGAGTAAAGATTTGGACTGAGTTTGGCCATGTTTTTATGTTTTGTTTTGTTTCAAATCAAAGATCTCACATATTTATTAGCCAACCTCTTTAAATGTGGAAGCATAAAAATAAAGGAAGAAACCAGAAATTTTGCAAAACATGTTCAATTGATCAAATCTTGGCAAAATTGAGCTTGATATGGCAGCGTGCTAGGACCTGTGTCATCGCATGTGCGACTCCTTAGAGACCCAGCTTGGTTCTTCGCCAATGTCGTCTCTTGGAGTTGTATCTGATTTTATTACCAGTTTTCTTTCGAATCCTTTGGGGAATGGGACGATTCTGCTTTTGTTTCTTGGTCAGGATTCTCTTGATTCTGAGAAGACATAGTGAAGATGGAACATAGCAGCACTCACACGACGGCGAAGAAAGGAAGAATGAGTTTGGCCATGTATTATTGAAATGCAATCTATTGCCCTTGAAATGAGAGAGAGAAGAGGAAGGTCTGGATGTTCTGAAGTTTAGGGAGATGTGTGAATTAATTCCTGGCTTAGTCATTGTGGCCTAGAGCTGGAGGTGAAGTGGCCAGCTGATTTGAAGTGTAGGGAGGTGTGCTTGAACTCCCAAATTTGCAGCTAGTACTCATTTGACCTAACTTGGATGACTAGCTGACCAGAAGCCAACCAGATGAAGATAAAGATACTTGACACTGTGAGCGAGTGCAAATTGCTAGTTTGGTGGACTGCACCTTTGCTTATGGGAGCAGTTGCTCCAAATTCCAACCAAAATGTAAGGATTCTTCATATCAAGTACCAGACTTGTTTCCTCAGTGCACTGGTTTGATAGGGATGGGCAATTTAGACATTGGCTATCAAAAATGGGAGGCTATAAAGGCATGAAGTGGCTGGCTTACTAGCTTTCATGAGTGTGCTTAGTTTCAGAACGAGGTGGATAAGGTAGACTCCCCACTGAATAGTTTTCCTCTTTTCCATCCGGATCTGGTGAAAGGAGATGAGGGATGATGATGATAGGATTTTATGATTCAATTGTGAATAATTGTTAGCAGGATTAATTGCAATGCAATTAATTGTGATGTTAGGATTGATTGTGATTAATCACATGGAGTTATGGAGAACAGATGAACTCCTGAAATGATTCCCTGAGATAATACTTAAACCTCAAACCAAAAATACTCTTTAAAGTCTTCTTAAAATCAAACAGTGTTGTTGTTAGATACTATCGAGTCCTACAGCACAAAGCAGCAGTGGGCAGTCTTCTGACAGACTCACAATCACTGCTGTGCTGGAGCCCAGTGTGGCGGCCAGTGTGTCAGTTCATCTTGAGGGGAGACCTCTGTTTCGTCAATCCTCTACACTAAGCATGACGTCCTTCTCTAGGACTGGACTTCTGATAACATGTTCAAAGTACATGAGATGAACTCTTGCCATACGCACTTCTAAGGAACATTCTGGTTGTACTTCTTCCTAGATTTGCTTGCTTCCAGCAGTCCATGGTATATCCAATACTCTTCACCAACACCATAATTCAAAGGTATTAACAAGAGTTTAGCATAACTAGTAAAGAATGTTTGTTTTGAGCATTTTGCTTATTGAAGTATTATCAAATTAACATCAGTTAGTAAGTCAAAAGATAAGATAGGAAATTTCGGGGGCAGGGAGTGTGTTAATGGGGAGGCACAACTAAGAAAAGGAGGGTGAGAATGCACAACTCAGAGAAAGTCGTCAATATCACTGAATTTTACATGGAGAAATTGTTGGCTTGGTGTATGTTCTGCTGCGTGTATTCTCAACAACAAAATAAAATTTAGAAAACAAAAGAGAGTAAGGACCCGGGTGAAGACCTGGTTGGCCAGCAATGTGGCAAGACCTGGGGACCCTTGGGCCCAGAGTCAGTGACATAGATAGCCACAGAGGACTAGAGTGGAGAGTGAAGTGTCCAGCTGATAAGAAGAGAGGGCATATGCATAAGAACACCCACACTTGCAGATAATACCTA